GTCTAGTCGGTAGAAGCGTGTGCGGAGGACCATCCACCGAACAGGTTCGAACCTTCATCACGGTTCCAACGGATTTTCTCACTGAAAAAATCATTTACCCTCAATTATCAAGAGTGATTTAACGGTAAAACAGTGAAGAGTAACGGGAGAAGGGAAAGAAAAGGGAAAAGAAATAGCCAAGAATACTTCCCTGGAAACACAAATCGTAACTGTCTCCATTTTCCGCTTGTTACAACTTGTAATAAAGTTGTTACATCTTGGCTTAACGTGTTTATGACGTATTAGAACGTTGTTACAACTTGCTATATTGGTTGTTATAACTGGTTAGGTGTTAAAACTTGTTCGAACGTTGTACCAACGTCGTAGTTTCGGTGTGTGTTTGGCGGGTTGTAAATATGATATAACAAACTAATATATGGAACAATATCCATAATTCATTTCAGATGATACTGTACTTAATTTGAAAATTCAAAAACATTTATTAAGTTCCAGCAAAAAATTTTCCAAGTTGAGATATAACCAAGTTATCTAATCTAGAAATAATCAAGTTTTGCTTTCTCAAGTTGTTGTTGTTTCAGATTTAGCAACTCAGAACGAAATACCCATGTAGCACGGGCTATGGCGAGCCCGTAATGCATTCTCAAACATATACCTTACTTTATAGTGACTGAAATTGGCCGCTGACGGGAACAGTTTTCCTCCTCTAGGTTACTGACTGTGATTGGCTGCGCCTGGGACAGCATGCCTCCGGCAGGGCTAACAACAGCATCTTTCTGAACCCTTGTGAATCCACCCCATTGACTTGAGCAAATCTTGAGATGTTGGCAGTACATCTGGACCTCGCCAGCCTGCAAGTTACATGAATCATTGACCCTGAAGCCTAAGACAGCTTCTTCAGAAGTGCTACATAGCCTTTCAGGCTTGGTGCCTTCTTTGATAATGACTTACTCTCCTTCAGAAGGCTACAGACACAAGGTGAGTCTCTGTTAATTGAGACAAGAAAGAAATGCCTCTCAAAGGGATACAGCAGTTTAGGCTATTTCTACTCCCTAGTTAATTCTGTTTACTTTACACTATACTGTTTTCACCGTACAATATACTCGCGTGGAGGTTCTGCCATTATGTGGTAGGTACAAATCTTACACGAATTCAACCAACTTCAAATAACTAATTTTGATGAAAGGGAAAAAATTTGAAAAAAACAGAAAGGCACATACATCGCGTTAGGCTTGGATATACCCATGTGCATGAGAAATAGGCTTATTTCCCATGCATATTAGCGAGTTCAGTCTCCTAGTTTGTTACTAGCACCGACAACAACGTTACTTATATGCAATCTAAAACTCCTTTACTTTATGCAGACGAGGAGTCACAATAACGTGGCTGAAGTATGTTGACCAACCCACACATTAGAAAGTGAAGGGACGACGACGTTTCAAAATCGACTTGAGAATGGTCCAGGACGGACCGAAACGTCGTCGTCCCTTCACCTTCTAGTGTGTGGTCTGGTCAACTCATTTACTTAATTTCAAGAGGTTTGGTAATTCTGGTTAAAAGAAATGTCGACTAATAATTTGTTGTATCATCAGTTGGAAACCAAAGGTTTGTTTAGAGGTTAGTACAAATGTGGTCAAAGATAGAGGTAATAGTTTCAGTAATTCTGGTGGGATTAGATATCATAGGTAATAACATACAAGATTTCATAGTGTTTGCGGAAGACATTTTGCATTATAGAGGCTTCATTAGTACGCCTAACTCCCGTCTCTACAATTTTAGATTAGTCTTATATTCTTTGTACACACATTTTTTTGAATAAAAATTATTAGTATTATTATTATTATACTGTTGAGGGAGCTAGGAACAAATAGGTTGACATAGATCATTATTGAAATCTTTCCTAAAGTTGGTTTTTGATAGGCTTGTAAGTTTCGAAGATTAGAGAGCATTTTAATTACACCACTGTTCAGAATTCTGCTCCCAAAGTTCAATCACTTAATTTTGACTTAGAAAAATATATTCTCTCCTTTAGCTTTTGAGCACAACTTATTTATTCCTTGTGGGAATAAATTGCTGTACCACCACCTCTCCGGCTCTACAGCTGTGAATAGCAGAATAATTTAGAATATAATTTAGGCTGGTTGTGTCATTCAGTCAGGTCTCTGTAACAACAACAAAGGTGAATTGGTTGTTAGGTGTTTGTAGTATTGTTATCATCATATCATATTGCAATCATTCTGAGCTACCTATCTTGAGATCTTGAGATGATTTCGGGGCTTTTTAGTGTACCCGCGGCCCGGTCCACGACCAGGCCTCCACCCCCAGGAAGCAGCCCGTGACAGTTGACTAACACCCAGGTACCTATTTTACTGCTAGGTAACAGGGGCATAGGGTGAAAGAAACTCTGCCCATTGTTTCTCGCCGGCGCCTGGGATCGAACCCAGAACCACAGGATCACAAGCCCAGCGTGCTGTCCGCTCGGCCGACTGACTCCCTTCCCTTC